TGAATTGAATCGAAGTCTTTAGATGGTGGACTAAAAGCGCTGGTTCTCTCTGGATAATTGTGATTGTCTTCTTTTTCCGACTCTTCTTCCTTAGGGCTTGAATATAATTTTTCTTTGTTGAACCTTCTAAGCAGGCGGGGGGAAACTGGCATGGAAAAACGACGATTTTGATAAAAATCTAAGCCTGTCCTATCTTTCTTTAATCCGTGCGATGGAGAGAGATTTTTTGCTGTAGGATTTGTTATTTCTTCGTAACTCTTTCCGCACGACTCCTCGTCTTGTCCGAAGCTTGGAGTTTTCGTTATTGGAGTAAAGTAAACCTCATAGTCGCTCTCTTTGTCGGTTTTCTTCTGTTTCCCCTTAGGTGGTGTTTGCGGCTTTAATACTAAACCTTCCCCACCATGTTTGGATGTTAAATGTTGTTTTCTGTCCAAAGGAGCTAATATTGTCCTACCAGATTTACATTCGTTCCCTTTAGCACAAAGGTGTGACTGTGGGTCACTAGAACTAATCCATGGTACCGATGAATGTTCTTTTGTTGGGACATTAAGTGCCGTACACAGCGTCCACACGGCGTCTTGTTGTGCTCTACTGTACTCCAAATTCTCTGCTTGTCCAAGAGACGGAAGACGAGAAGTTTTACTCGGTATTTTTTGTCCATTTGCTCTAGACTTCGCTCTGTTTATTTCTTGCCTTTCCAGCTGTTTATCGTCAGGGAAACTCTTCATTTTCCTTATTGTCTCGCATGGTATGTCATCCTCGTCTTCGTCTTTCACGAAATCCTTCTCTTCCCTGACGACTTTGTTATCGCCAAAACATATATTTAACTCCTCAACCGATATGAAACTATCTTCCATCTCAAATTTGAATCGTTTCGCTCGAAGTTTTGACAGGTTTTTACTTCTAACTTCCTCTAATCGTTGCCTGGATGTGAATCGTAGCACGGCTGTTTCTTACATATATATGTTCGCTGTCCTCGGAAGATTGACTAAGAAGCGTCATGAACTAAATGAACTAAAAGCCCAACTAATTTTATAAATTGTATAAATTGTATAATTCTTGATCAAACCACCTGCATACGAGTTTCCTATGGATTATCTTAGTTGTCGTCAAAGTTTTCACCAAAAACTGACGTAACTCTCAAATTTGAATCCCAAATGAGCCGAGCCGAGTCTTTCTGAACTGTTTACCTTTATATCGATGGTTTCTCGTTTTCCAAAGCTTTTAGAACATCCGCGAAACGATTAAGAGGCATTGTTTTCGTCTGGAAAGAGATTTCCTGGAGCCATAATATTTTTCATATTTTTTTTCATATTTTTTTAAAGACCTCTAACAATGTCGTGATTAAAAATATTCAAAAGAAAATGTAATTTTAGTGGAATAAATAATTTTTAAAAAATATTTCTTCAAAAATAAATTTTTGTTTTTTCAAGTCGGTACTTGATAATTTTCAAGATATGGTTCAGCTTTAAAGCTAAAAATATCTGAGTTAGAGGTCTAAAATAACTAAGAATGAAGGGTTGAAATTAAGAGCATAGCGGGATAATTTTTGGCGCTAAGTAGGCTATTTTCAATCATTTTGTTGATGAACGACAACATAGTTTATCAACTTACAATCACCACCTCCCAAAATTTAATTTTTGAACTTTCGATAAAATAATTGTCTTTAGTAATCTAAATGCTGGTTCAAGGCTCTTGAACAGGAATACCTCAATTATAAGATGAATTACTTTGAAAGCGAAATTTTCTTAAGAAATTAGTTGTCATGAAGCGAGTAAATATATCTGTCCTACTAAAAACACTGCCCTTTATGTAAAAAAAGACAGCATTTTGTTGGTTTGGCAGTCTTGTGACTCTTAAATACACTCTGTTTCAGTAGGCTTGCAAAAAAGAAGATGAAGCATGATATATAGTAGGTAATAATAAGTAAAATACACCCTTTTTCGCTCGCAAAAAAGGGAAGCATAACAAACAGCAGGTGACAAATAAGAAAAAGTAAATAAATACTTAGAATCGGAAAGACGTGACGGAAAACAAGAGCGTTGGTAAGCGTTTTTTATATTAATCACGTTTAAAAGTAGGTGTTCGTTTGTACGTAACCGGGTGAATCCATACGTCGACAATGGGATTTTCTCAAGTTGCAACGTCTTGTTGACTGACACAATAGATTTTCCCCGCGTGGCCTCGCATTCAAGCCCTTCAGTACGAGGCCGAGAGGGTAAACGAAGGTTATTTTTCTCATGGGAATAAATGTGACAACGTTTGATCAAGGTCCACTGATCGGTTTTTAGGTGGGATTCATTTAATCCTAACAAATAAATCCAGAAAAACAAACATTAATTGAACGTGAAACTTGTTTTAGTTTTTGCTTGTTTGTTGTGAAGTGTGATCGTCCGGATGAGTGTAGTCTTGAGAAAGACTGTTGTTGGTGGTGACTGACGTTTCGACAACCTGAGCGGAAGTCGTCTTCAGAGTCCAGTGAGAAAACACGAGACAGTCGTTGTCATTTATACGATAAAGTTATATACTCGTTTTAGCTCGTTGTTTGAACTTGTGACATGACGTGAAGGCCACGAAGAGGACACAAATACAATTTTTTTTTTCTTTCTCTTTGTTAGTTTTTTTCCTTTTTTTTTTTTTTACAGGGATTTAGGAAAACGGTTCCGTACATTATCACAAAACAAGGAAGTAAAATGAGCGGACGAAAAAACGCATGCGAAAATCGATAAGAAACAAAGAAAGGAAAACGAAGAACAAACGTGCCAATGAACAAGCGCGAATGAAGGCATGACGTAAGAAGGGACTAATGGACGGATGCATCGTCATATACTAATGAATGAACATTGGAAAAAATTGAAGATCTTTATCATTGTCCAGTTCCTACCGATTAATCCTGCCCACATGTTGTGTCAAGTGTAATAAGAGTGCATACCATATATCCGTGAAAAAAGTTGTAAGAAATGGCACAAATTAAGTGATTTTATTTTTAAAATAATAATAATTTTGAAAAATAGCAGTAAACTCTGAACCCATTGTTTTCTTTTTTTTTTTTCCTTTTTTTTCTTCTCTCAACTAGAATAAGAATAGATTTTAGAATAGGTTTTA